GGACCTTATGTCACAAATAGTTCTCCTAACTTTATCATGGTCACTGGGGAGACCACCGGAGTTGGCTTATCCATAGAACTTCTCACACCTTTAGGACAAACTTTTCACACCTTTAGGACAGGAGATGGTTTTGCAAATTGGAGCAAGGCCCCCACGGAAGTTAGCCTCCCATCCTGCCACAGGAACTGGGAGTTAGGGGCAATAGCTCCCTGGATGTTTGAATTTCAAAAGATGGCTCCCAGGTCCTGGAGGAAACATTCCAGAGTTGTGAGACCGGCAGAGGTTATTTAGCCATTCTAAAGATATACATATATTCGAAAAGGACAGAAATTTTGAAAGAAAAAGGAGGGAGGGGGGTCCTCTTCCCTTATTTTCAACAAGGAGAATTAAGTCTCTTATCTTTAATTTGTATTTGCCTTTACACAATGCAGGGGTAGTTTTGTTTCCAGCCATCAGAGGGTGTGGCTGGGAAATGTGATATTATGGGGAGCAACCATAAATCAACCAGACCAGGCGTTTCACACTTATTGTAAAAAACAAATTGTGGACAATTATTCAACTTTAAAAGAATGAAATTATGACACATGCTACAACATGGTTGAACCCTGAAAACATTAAGTGAGATAAGCCAGGCACAAAAGGACACTTACTGTATGATTCCACTTGTATGAGGTACCTAGGGTAATCAAATTTATTGAGACAGAAAGTAGAATAATGGTTACCAAGGGCTGGGGGGAAGGGGAAATGGGAGTTACTGTTTAACAGGATATAGAGTTTCAGTTGGAGATGATGAAAAAGTTCTGGAGATGGATGGTGGTGATGGCTGCACAACAATGTGAATATATTTAAGACCACTGGATGATGCACTTAAAAATGGTTAAAATGGTAAACTATATATATTGTGAAATATATGTGTGTATATGCACATATGTATGTGTGTGTGTGTAAGTATATGACCTGCATCACCACCACCCAGGTCAAGAATGCCTTCTTCCCCATAACCCAAGTTCTGCTCTTTGCACTTATAGTCAGCATTGGTGGAGAGGGTCGGGGTAGGGAAAAGCAGCATCTCTCCTTGACGTCCATAACCATTCGGGCATTTTACCATTCGAATTCTACTTGCTCTCCAAGTGCGAAGTCTGAGTCAGCTGGGGTTTTTTGGTTTTGGGTTTTTTTTTTTTTCTTTATCAGTAATTATTACCAGAAGAAGAAAACATTTTGACACCTAACCTCACTGACACATCTCACGGGTTTTACTTCCTGCCCCTGCCCATACATTTGTCATGGATCTTGACCTACATTTCATTTTCAAGCCTCATATGCATGACTGTGGCTTTCCGAGCACAGTCTGCAGGGCCTTCCCTGGTAGTCCAGTGGTTAGGACTCCACGCTTCCACTGCTGGGGGCACGGGTTCAATCCCTCATTCAATCCCTCATCAGGGAACTAGGATCCCGCATGCTGCATGGCATGGGCAAAAAAATAAATTAAATAAAAATTTTTTAAAAACATAACAAAGCATGGTATGCAGCAGCAGTATTTGGCAGTGTCTTTTGTCTTCTTGCTCTACTTGCCAACATTGGATTTATCCTCTCCAAAAGAGAGGTTCCTGAAAGTGATGTGTAAATGGAATTTGGGGTAAGATAAATCATCATTTACAGGTTTTCTGGAGAAATGTTCTTGAGTAGTGAATAAATTGTCCTCTATTTCAGTGCTAGGCCTCAACCCACAGTAAGAAATACATCTTACATCACCCCCAGCACACACGTGCCTGTTCACAACTGATCCAAACAGCTCATGCAACAATACCCTTACTCCACGGAGTGCATTCTGAATTGGTTTCCTAATCTTTTCTGTAAAAACGCTGGTTACAACCCACTAAATTTGACTTCATGACTCATTAACGGGTCTCAGCCCACAGTTTGAAAACACTACACCAGTTTAATATTTTATCCATCGGGATGTTTCTGTTTTGCATGTTGTGCCTATAGCTTAGCTGCCTGCTCAGCACATTCCACAGAGTGGAGCTGATCTGGTCCCCATGCTAGAAGCAGTGACTCTTCCAGACTCTGTGGGGAAAAAATAAAAAGGAAAATTCACCTCAGCTCTATGCTTCTCCTGCCAGCATCAGGGACTGACGAACTCCAGGTCTTCCTAGAAATTAACCTTGGTTCTGGGGTACACTTTGTGGGGGGAAGGAAACATTTTTTTTCAGCTCCTTCTTCCCCTGCAAATTCAAAGTTGTTTTCGTTTTTTAATCTTCTCTTTGGATCACCTTTCTCTCAGTGGCTCCTCAGAAAAGGTTATTCAAGTCCACAAAACAGTTAAATGACTCAAAACCCAGATCTGTATCCTCCTTTAAGTTGCTGTCCTTCAACTAGCCACTCCCACCCCAGCCAAACAGGGGACACCAGGAAAAATTGGGGGTAAGGGCCACCTAAGAGAATGTGAGCTGAAAGAAAGAACAGGGAGGCTCAGTAGGTGTTGGCTGAGGTAGCAGGCTAGTCCTTTTCATTTTGGGTTTGCTGGATAACATGTGATGCTAAGAAGCCAGAGGAAAGGTGACCTAGTGTGGCCTCACCCCGTGCTTTGTACCCAATGGCAGCTCCTCCGGATGGGGAGGGAGGGGGAGGCGGAGGGAGGGAGGGTTGACACTTTCCTTTCACTTTCTCAGGCCACCAAACCTGACACCTGGGGACAGAACTACAGTTCCCACCACGCCTCGAGACAGGAGGAATAAGGGGCACGGAGGACCAAAAGGAAAACCAGGAGAAAGAGCAAACATTACCTACTGGCAGAGGTGAGAGAGCCAGACAGGTAAGCAACAGGTGCAGGTTACAGGATGCAGGATGGAGGCTGTTGGAGGGTGGACATCGCTTGTTTCTCCTTGCAGGGCGTGTAGGCAGAGGTGAAGGGGGCTTTTGTGGAAACCTTGAGGACTCACTTGGTGTGTGTGTATGGGGGGGGCATGGAAGTAAGATTTCAGCTCAGATCACAGGGATAAGACACCGGAAGTGGAATGGCTTTCTTTACTTGAAAAGCCCGGGGAAGAGTTGTTTGATTATGTCTCGTGTCTGCTCGATCATTTAGCCATAGTGATTTCAGAGGAGTCCAGGAGAAGTGTAGGATCCTCCGTCTGTTTAAAGCTCGCGGTTTTTACGTACAGATTTTAATTTGTGTGATGATACAGACTTGTCCTTTTCTATGACTTCTGAGAAAGCCAAAAACTAAAACTGGGGGAAATGAAGAAGGGTATCATAGGCAGGAACAATTTGCAGCACATCAAACTTCGTCATCAAATGAAATAAGGTTCCCTGTATTTTTAAGAGACATCTGACGAGGAGACCCAACACAACCAAAGAACAGTTGAAGGGCCTGGGTATATCTGCCATGAGGGGACATGGTTGCTGCTCCAATTATCTGCTGGGCTGTGGAGTAGGAATCTGCTGTCATGTGGAATGGGAGTCCTGATGTAGCATGAGGGTCCACAGATGGAAACCTCGGGGAGATAGATTTCAACCCCATGTAAGTTAGAGCTGTGCACACAACATAGATTTTTTCATGAGGTAGTGAGTTCCTTGTGATCTGAGATGCTGTGGATATTTAAGCAGAGACGCTGAAGGTGGGAATAAAGTTTCAGGTGGGTGACTGTGTCGGTCAACACTTCCCAAGGCTAGCTAGTCCTCAAAATCACCTGGGAGTGTGTGCATGTTTTTAAATCTATTTAGCAGACCTAAGATGGGTTCCAGGAATATATATATATATATATATATATATATATATATATATTTAATTATCTTCCAAGGTAATTCTGATAATCAGTTAGTTTGGGAGACACTGTCATGAGAAACTTTCTTTTCCAGCCTATGGTAGAGTATGGCACAAACATTCGAACCACAGGGTTTTTTTGTTTGTTTCGTTTTGGTTTTTTGCACCTTGAGGCTTGTGGGATCTTAGTTCTCCAACCAGGGATTGAAACTGGGCCCTTGACAGTGAAAGCAGAGAGTCCTAACCACTGGACTGCCAGGGAATTCCCCACAGTTTTCATTTTGAATATTCTCAGAATCATAATTTCCAGGACAAGAAAAAGCAGGTGCCAACCAGAAGAAAAGGGCTATGTGACTCTTCCTGAAACTGACTTGTCTGTCAGGTCTCATTGATGCTTGCTGCTGGTTGCCTGGCCATTCAGCCTTCCAGTAACTTGTCTTCCTCCCGTGTGACATGGAGATAGGCTGACAGCTAGGCATGTCTCCCACCTGATAACTGGCAGGTAAAACACTCCTGCTGGGTCCCGAGGCATGTGGGGTCTTAGTTCCCGGACCAGGGATCAAACCCACCACCCCGTGCAGTGGAAGCGCTGGAAGCATGGAGTCTTAACCCCTGGACTGCCAGGGAAGTCCCAGTCAATGCTGTCATCTGAGAGTGTTGACCGGGTACTTGGCCCAGCAGAGAACAGCAGTAGAACCTCTTCATTCCAAGGTCACCCCTAAAGTAATGTTAACTCACCTAGGACAGGTGGGGTTTGTGCGGGCAGCTCCCTCTTACCTGACCAGTAATTAACAACCTTCTCCCACGAGGATGGCAGTGCTAGGAAAACAGTGACCTCCCTCTGTCTTGTCCTGTGCTGAATCCCGAGTGCCAAGAATAGTTCCCGGCCCCTGGTAGGTGTTCACTAACACAGGGGTCCCCAACCCCCAGGCTGTGGACCAGTACCGTCCTGTTAGGTACTGGGCCACACAGCAGGAGATGAGCGGCAGGCGAGTGAGCGAAGCTTGCCGCTCCCCATCGCTCCCCATAGCTCCCCATCGCCCCCCATCGCCCCCATCGCTCCCTATCGCTCCCCATCGCCCCCCATCGCTCCCCATGGCTCCCCATAGCCCCCCATCGCTCGCGTTGCCTCCTGAACCATCCTGACCCCCCACCCTGTCCGAGGAAAAATTGTCTTCCACGAAACCAGTCCCTGGTGCCGAAAAGATTGGGGACAGCTGCACTAAAGAGAGAGTGAATTCCTTCTTTGCTTCCTTGATCTGTTCTAGGTGGCAAGAGCCATGCAATTCTCCAGCTCAGCCATGGCAGCAGATGAGAACTTTGACTATTTGTTCAAGATTATCCTCATCGGGGATTCCAACGTGGGGAAGACGTGTGTGGTGCGGCATTTCACGTCCGGGGTCTACACCGAGGCGCAGCAGAACACCATTGGGGTGGACTTCACTGTGCGTGCCCTGGAGATCAACGGCAAGAAAGTGAAGGTCAGAGGGGGACAGGAGTGGGTCTGCCTCTTTTAGCCATGGTTCCTAACCCTGAAACACATGCCTGAGGAGTGAAAGATTTAAATATAAAATATGAAATAATTAAAATACCAGGAAAAAAACCCACATGGGAGTATTTATTTTTATCATTGAGGAATAGAGAAACCGGGCTTTAAAGTAAGACAAGAACCCAGAAGCCATAATGGAAGATATTGCTCTATCTATTTAAAGGTCAAATTAATACTCTTCTATATGGTCATATAAAGGTCAAATTTCTACATACTCAAAAATACCATAAACAAAGTCAAAGATGAGTGAAAAACTGGAAAGAAACATTTGCACATATGGAACTGACAGCTAATTTCTCTGATGTGAAAAGAGCTCTGATAAATATCGAAGAAAAGACCAACAACCAAATACAAATAGTAGGCACTTCACAGATTAGACAAAACAGCTACGTCACAGATGTTATATGAACTGGCTCATACATTTATGTGAAAAAGTAAAAGTGCCCATTGTTACTCATAATTCAAGAAATGAAATTAAAATAAGTGAGATAATATCATTTACCCATTTGATCAAAAAAGATCAAAAAGTGTTGGTGAAAATGTAATAAATGGATTTTGTGTGGGATCCTTATTAAACAAACACAATAGTAAAAAGACATTTAGAGGCTTCCCTGGTGGCACAGTGGTTGAGGGTCTGCCTGCCGATGCAGGGGACACGGGTTCGTGTCCCGGTCCGGGAAGATCCCACATGCCGCGGAGCGGCTGGGCCCGTGAGCCATGGCCGCTGAGCCTGTGCGTCCGGA